ATCGGCCTGCATTGAAAATTTTATTTTAGCGTTAATTTTGTTAACTCATCTAGTCAAACAGGCTTAATTGAATAGATTAAAAGGTTACGGGGGGAAATTGAGAAATTACCCAGCAATAAGGACATTCAATAGAATAGTCATGCCAACAGTGATTCCACCGAATTGTCCTACCTGTTAAACAGGTAAGCAACAAAGCAATAAATTTCGTGAAGAATGAAAGAGTTGAATGCTCCTTTCTAAAAAATTAAGAAATTTATGATTTCTGAAAAAATATTGTACTATGTTGATCCTTAAATAGGGGAAGTCCTAAATATGGGTTAATCTATCATTCAAGGACCATTTTTTGCACTCCGGGTATAAAAGGGAAATCTTCGAAAAGTACTCTTTTAATTTGACTTTCCAAGGTTTATGATATATATATATATATATATCAACCAATGGTCACAGAAAAAATGATTAGTGTGTTTAAATACAAACCGCTCTATAATCTGTGGAAAAGGCGGAGACGACGAACATCAAGAGGTAGGAGATGATGATTTCGACGATAAATGACTGGATATTGGATCCAACTGGTGCAGTTCCAAAAAAAGCTGTGGTGGCTTTGGTTGCGGAGACAGGATCATGAAGTAATACTGATAGTGCAAAACTAGCTATCAATGATCCTCCCATTTGAGCCACCACGTACAATGGAACCTACATATATTAATGTATGATCAATAACATGTGGTAGGTTGAAATTTGGAACTACTATATCTCGTGTATCCGAGGATTAATCAATTTACCTGCCAAATTGAAAATCTCCCAAGGAGAGCTGAAGCTATGGTAACGGCTGGGTTAAAATGAGCACCGGAGACATGGCCAACTGAGTAGATCATGACCATGACGATTAGACCCCATGTCACGCAAACGCCAGGGAAGGTTATGGATCCATAGACCTTGTTGACGGCCACAGCGCCACAGCCGGCAAATATAAGGAAGAAGGTACCTATGAACTCAGCAATCAACTGAAAATAATACACAGAAAAAGTAATCAAGAAAGACAACATATGCATTATGAAAGCAGGCAATTTGCAACACATACAAATATCAACGAAAGTGGAATCAAGTAAAGACTGACCTTTTGTGTTGTGGTTGCTGTAAGAGTAGTCGAAGAAGAAGGGCTGTTATCTCCATTGGTTGTGGGTTTGGTAACAATACCTTCTTCTATTTTTGAAACCTCTTCATCTTCAACAGGCGGCATTTTTAGGAGAAATGGGAAGAATATGTGTAAAATGATACGAGTAACCAGGAGATATTTTAAATTTTAATTTGGGTTTGTTGCTTGGGATTTGAAGTGGTATAAATAGATTTTGAAGATAATTCCAGCGCGTACGGATTTGGTTTTTGATATGTTTGTGGTGGTTAGATGACGGATTCTCGGAGACTTGGCCATTTCGAATGGGCAAAACATGCAGATCACCCCCTTAACTCATTGATTGGTGGCAAATCACCCCTCAACCTACTTTACGCGCAAACCAATCCCTCAACTCTGCAGTGGCAAATCAGCCCCTCTGTTAAGGCTGATGTCATTATTCCGTTAACATTTAACTGTCCGTTCATAAACCCCACCTCTGCGTCTGATGTGGCTTTTTTTTGCTGAGATGGATGCTGAGATATAGGGCCACCTGGACAAAAGATGATTTTTCAATTGAATCCAAAAAATTATTCTCTACCTTTGTTTTCCTTTCGAAAAAGTACCCAGAAAAAGCATCCAAACTCCTCCCCTTTCATCTCCTTCAAGAAACCATCTTCTTTAATCTCAAAAATCTTAATAATTTCCCCAGAACACCGTCAACTTTATGTTTTGGCCTCGCTTGACTCTCCGACGCCGGTGCCGCCGTTTTCTTACCAACATTCACCTGTTCGACGAAATTCCCCAGAGAAGCTCCAGTTCTTGAAAACGTTACCACAAGCTCCGGGTACCGTTGTTTCATCAATTTCTTGAACTTTTCTAATACACAAGATGATGATTCGCACTGATGGTTGCAATACCCGATCTTTGCACTCCCATTTTTGTAAGCTTTACACGCCAATAAAATAAAGCTCGATCGATCCCTAAAGTACTTCATAACAAAGCCTTCGAAATTTTTCGGAGGTCGCTTGATCAGAAGCATCATCGTCCGGCAAGACAGCAGGAAAGCATCCTCACTGTAAGCGGCGGATTTCTTCTCCCAGAAACGACCCGGCCAAGCGACATTGCTGGGCTCATTGAAGCAGGGCTTTTCGTTGAGAACTAGACCCTGAATCGAGAGCAGAAGTTGGAGAACCATTGACTCATTCGGATTCCATTTTTCAATCTTTTTCCTGACCCAAGTGTTAATCAAACTCAAACAGACCTTCGAGTTCGCGTACAGGTTTGGGTTGATCCGATACCCAAAAGATCGGTAGTGAGCCATCGACGGTCGACTGGGATAATCGGGCGAGAATGCGATGTCGAAGAAGAAGAGCCCGTCATGGTAAGGCATACCCACGTTAAATGTTAACGGAACGATGACGTCATCCTTAACAGCCGGGCTGATTTGCCCCTGCAGGTGAGTGGTGAGTTGAGGGGTTAATTTGCCCATGAAGGAGGTTGAGGGGGTGATTTGCCACCAATCAATGAGTTAAGGGGGGTGATTTGCATGTTTTGCCTTTGGAATGAATGTTAAGCAAAGTTATCAGTTTTTTTTTTTGAACAGCAAAGTTATCTTAATATATTCTAGAAAGATAAACCTCTTAATTACCAACTCTACACCAATATAATATTGCTGGTTAGATTTTTTTTCTTATTTAGATGCAGATTATATGGAAGGTAATCATTTTACTTGGCCAGCTATGCCCTGAACTAAAAAATCTCTTTCATTTTAAAGAAGGAAGATTATCAATGAGCCATTAACCATTAACCTTTAACGACCTTTAACGATTAGACCTTCGTTTGGGAGTACCATTTTATGGCTATAGTTGTAATGAGATTTTTTTGAAAAAAAAGAAAAAGTTTACTATCATAAAAATATATAAAATATAAAGATTTATATATTATACTCTAAATTGTATATTAAAAGTGTAATTTTTTCTATAAATTTATTAAAACATTCTTAATGAAATAATGTAAAAAATAATTTAATTAAGAGTATTTAAATAAATTTAAAGGACAAAGTGCATATTTGATAAACAATATGCCATGTAAAAAACTTTTTTTTTGCAAAATATAAATTAAAATTAATGACAATATATTAAAAACAATCAATTTACTTTTTCAATTAAAGTGCCGCATGAGAAAACGCTTAGCTTTATGTAGTTGGCAAAGTCAATATGACATAGTCTGGAAGACCACATAACATAAGG